CCCGGCCAACTGCTGCACCTCAATAATCGGCGAAAACTCCGCCCTGAACCTAGCTGAGAAATCGCTCCAAGTCATCGCGTCCAACGCGGCATCATCACCCAAAGCATGACCAATCTCTTCGCACCAATCCCTCGCTCTGTCCTTCAGAAGACAGGAAGCGAGTCTGACCTTGTCCTCCTCAGGACACCGGCTCGTACGGAATGCGTTGGCAACATCAGCCAACCATCTGCTGCTAGCGATGGGGTCCCTAGCCCCATGATAATCTGGTGCCCCGCAAGCCCTGAACTCCTAAAATGTCAAGGTACGCGCTCCCAACAAAGCTATTATCTCAGTACGGAAGGCTCCCAACCTCTCATCCAAAAAATCTCCAATATACCCTCCTTGACCGTGCCAAAGATCACAGGAGTCTGAGCTAGAATACTGCGCGTAACCTCAGCTGATATCAACTCTCTCATCCGCTCCTCGAGCTGCTCGGCCCCTGAACCCGAGCCTGATCCCTCTCCGGCACCTGATCCGCCCGCTGGTCCCTCTCGCAATGTTACCATACTGAAACATATAACATAACCATTATCAGAATACTCCTCACTGCTGTGAGACCAAACATACTCACTACCAGGTTCCCGGTCTTGTCTCGGCCTTTCCCGAATCGAGTACGGATCCTCTGCTTTCAGTAGTACGGGCACATACTACCTTCCACATCTATCCGTACTTTTCTCAAGAACTGCTTCGACTCCACCAGTTCCCTTTTCTACTACTACTGCTCCCAGCAGTACCTCATCCTAGGCTTACCCTAAGGAAACCTCTGACTCAACACAAACCAGCCCTCAGCTGCTGAAGGTCTCCTTATGATGCCAATTACCCATAACCTGGATACCATCACATGTGACGAGGCTCAGATAATCCTTCAAGTAGAGGGCTCGTTCCTACAACGGTTGGACTCAAACAAGAGCTACGTAATAGGACCACATCCAACACTTTGAGATTATTCAACCCTGATCACATGTGACGTACCGTATCCACCTAATGGCTAACTCCCATCACTCAGAATCCCACAATGCACAAAGCAAGCAAATT